TGTTTCTTATCATTTAGCCTATTTGAATTTGATGCAAATACTCGCTTTTAATTTTTAATATAACTGAATACGAATAACAAAAAATCCATCTTCAATACGAGTAAAAAAAGAGTCATGTTCTTTGCTAATAACACTACTAAATAAATGTTAAAACTCGACTGAGTCGGGATGTCGATAATTTTTTAAGAAAGAAAACCAACACATTTCGTCGGTTATTTTTCACACAAAATATACAAAAAAACTCTCAAAAAGAATCAATGTTTGTTCGTTAATTTTAAATTTTTTACTAAAATTAACTGACACATGCCGATTTTTAAAATAAGAAAATGCAATTGAAGAACATATATAAAAATAAACAAATCATAAAAATAGTATTTCGTGTTAAAATGGTAAGTAAAAAATAGAGTGTAACGGTTAAAATGGAACAATGCTAAGATGGAGTGCCAAAATAAAAAATGAGAACAAGTTAGAGGGATTGTGTATGTGTTTGGCATTAAATGTAGTAAAGATGTCTATAATATTTAAAAGGGAAAAAGGACAAATATACCCCCAACTATCGTAAATGGTATGCAGATACCCTCCGTCATACTTTTAGGATATTGGTGCCTCTACCGTCCAAAACTAGAGCATATATACTCTTTATACTAACGGACTTTCACGTGTCATAATTTTATCCACCATCCCGACATTTATTAAATATCGGATCGACAGATAAGATAGCGTCACGTGTTCCTATTTAGTCTTCTGTTAGAGTGAAGGGCATATATGCTTTAGTTTTTGGATGGCAGGAGCACCAATGTCCCAAAAGTATATCAGATGGTATCTGCATGTCATTTACGATAGTTCGGGGATATCTTTGTCCTAAACCATCCAAAAACATAGAAACCGACTAATATCATACAAAGGGGGTCACTTATTTTTTTCTGAGGGCAGGTTGTTTGGATTGCTGTTCAGTGTACTGCACTATGGGTACAAGATCACACCTTAGACACCATGGTCATTGATCGGTAGGACCCTTATTTGATAGGCATTAGGGGATTTGAGGTAATAGAAAGCATGAACAGACTATGATGGATTTGGTACGCAAGAACATTTCTGCTTATAGATGTTCATCAATCCAGCGCTATGTTTCTTTTGTTAGGAGCATGAACATGACAAGGATTACATCATAGGACAGGTTATTGCATGATACACACTTTTATAGTATATTAGTTCAAAGAGTATATGATGGCTCTGCCAATTAAGAAAAACGTAAAAAGAAAATGTTAAAGTGAACCAAAATCAACATTGATACCTGTAAACTGTTGAACAATGATTTGATGGTGCACTATACTGTAGACTAGTTATCTTCCTTCATTAGTCATCAATTGTGAAAATACCTTGCTTGTCGATATATCTGAAGCCCCATCACCATTATACACCTCATTGTGGAGACCCTCTGGCAATGGCACTGGAAGCTCATTGGAAATCTCAGGCACTTCTCCAAGTGTTCCAGATTCTTGAAGCTGGAATGCATATTCCAAGTTCCACAATACGTCACCCATTGTTGGCCTATCAATTCCATAATCAGCCAAACATTTTTCGGCAGTCTCCCCGAACTTCCTCAAACAGTTTAGCTTTATCTGGCCTCTGATATGGGGATCAACAATCTTGTCTAGTTGTCCATCCTTCTGCCACTGCATAGCCCATTCAGCCAAATTAACTTGCTCTCGTGTAAGCAGAGGATCAATTGCAGGTCTAGCACATAAGACTTCAAATAGAACAACTCCGAACGAGTAAACATCTGACTTGTCAGTAAGCTGTTGCCTCCGAAAATATTCCGGATCAAGGTAGCCAAAACTTCCTTTTACACCAGTGCTGACATGGGTCTCATTAAGACAAGGGCCTGTCCTTGAGAGACCGAAATCAGCAACCTTAGCAACACAATTTTCATCAAGGAGGATGTTAGTTGACTTGATGTCACGATGGATGATTCCTTGAGCGAAACCTGTATGAAGGTAGTGGAGACCTCTTGCAGCACCTATGCATATCTCAAGCCTTTTCTTCCAAGATAAGGGTGATATGCCTGGACCATACAAATGCCTCTTAAGAGGTCCCTTCTCCATATACTCGTAAACAAGTATCATCTCAGACTGTTCTTCACAATAACCTACAAGTGAAACAAGATGGTGGTGGCGAATCTTGGAAAGAACAGTGATTTCAGTCTGAAATTCAGGTAGGCCCTGCCTGGAACCTGGCACACCTCTCTTTATAGCAACCTTTCTGTTGTCTCCAAGAATACCTTTGTATACCATCCCAAAGCCACCAGAACCGACTAGCAAACTCTTATCAAAATTATTAGTAGCCAATTGTATTTCGGCAAAGGGAATCCTCTGGCCTAGATATCCATTTGGTCCAGGTGAAGTCCCATCAGACAATGTACCATGGGAACTACTTCCATATCGACGTAAAGGCGTCCATCCAGCACTTTCTGAGGGCTTTGATTTTAGCTTTTTCTTTCTGCAGACAAAGAATAGCAAAGCAGCAAGAATCATCACCACAGTCAGCAGAACAAAACTTCCAAGAACAGAACTCACTATAACCCAAACATTTCTCTTGTTAGAACCTGTCCGGGAAGCCACAAAATTGACCATTTTCATAATCTCAACACCATTCAGAATGGCATTCTTCCTCATTGAACTACTTAAGTTAGAAGGATCGATGCTTACTTGCACAACGCCTGAACTACCTGAGTATACCACAAAATCTATGTAATATGGTGTAGCAAGCTCACGGAATGTAAGCGAAGATAAATCAAGGTCTTTGTATGCTGTGAAGCCATTGAGATATACATTAAAGTACAACTGTCCAGGTGACAAACTAACAATATCACAGAAATGCAAGCGAACAAAGTGGGAAGCATCTTTAATAGCGACAGGAAAGTTCCATGTGATATTAAATTTGAAATCTGTAGTTACATTATCCGTATTCATCTGCTGTGCTGTCATATAGACACTATCAGGAGCAATTTCCCTTGTAGCACCACCCTTTTGATACTTGGGAACATGAGAAGTTCTTGCAATTTTAGCAGCATATTTCAAAATGAGAAAATCTTCATCTGTAATCCAACTTCTCCAGAGAGTATCATTAAAAGGAGTTAACTTTAACCCTCCAACATTAATCCTATGAACAGTCTCTAATGTTTGTAACGTCATATTCTGATTAAACTCCCGAATTCCTTTGGGACCAACTGATTTAGCCCCATCACCAATTATGAAATCATCCGGAGCTGAAAACACTTCAATTGCATTTACAAAAGCAAAACTGGATTCATAAGGATTAGGTGTGAAGTTAATTTCAAGTTCAAACTTATCCACCATCAATATGAACTCTCTAACCACACTATTAGTAATAGTAGTATTAACACTAAAAAGCAAAACCCCATTTGCAGAAAAACTGAAAATTGCTTTTCTGAGATCATAATTGTGAGAAGTGAAGGGAGAGAAATGAAGTCGCAAGAAATGGGTCCCAATCTTGTTGATATTGAACACATACTTTGAAGCATCATTGAAAACCCTAGCACTAGAATAAAGGAAAGATAAATTGGAAGATGGGTTTGTATTTTCTTCAAAGACAACAGACTTACCTTGAGAGGTATAAATTGAATTAGAGTCACCAAGGAAGAGTCTGTTATCAACTAAGACATCTGTATTTGAACCACAGTTTATCAAGTAGTTATCTTGTGGGGAGAAAGCACCTGATAAATAGATGATACAGAAACAAGGGATGAAAAACCCAACAACAACTTTACAACTTCTCATGGGAGAAGAATGAGAGAATTATTGTACTCTGTTATTTTTTTTTAACAATAAGATGTGAGTGAATTCTTTTCAAGCAAGACAAAATGTGAATGTCAAGGAGAGCTGTTCAAAATACTGTGTAAACAAAGAAAAGTGGCGGCTCGTGAACACATTTTCTACCACCATTAATAGTGTCCTCCACTTGCAAGTTGGAACTCTACATCTGTATACCATTATATTTTTGCCTTACATCATTTACTCCGTTCGTTTCTATTTATATATAGTTCTTGCTAAAAGTAGATTAAAAAAATACTTTCTGTTCTTAGTTACTTGTTTATTTTTTCTTTTATAATTGTCCCTAATTACTTATCCATTTTAACAAACTAAGAAAATATAAAAAAAATTTACCTATTATACCCTAAATTTAAAAATAAAAAATAAAAAAATTATTACTTTGAAAAAGATAGAACTTCTTGAAAATCTTAAATTTTTAATTTATCCACTTCATAATTAATATGGATAAAATGGTAAACTCATTATGTCATTAATTGTTTTCTTAATAGGTGTGTCAATTCAAAAGTGGACAAGTAATTAGGGACAGATGGAGTACTAGATACTCCTTCTGTCCCAATTTATGTGACTTACTTTTATTTTTAGTCCGTCCAAAAAAGAATGACACATTTCTATATTAAGTAGCAATTTGATTGTAAAATACATATTTTATCATTAATGAAATGATTTACAGCCACACAAGTTTTTATCATTTATTTTGGACCACAAATTTTAAAAGTCTTCATTTCTTTCTTAAACTTCGTGCCGAGTCAAACTACCTCACATAAAATGGGATGGAGGGAGTATTAGTTAATACTTTCTCTGTCCCTAATTACTTGTCCACTTTTTCTTTTTTAATTGTCCCTAATTACTTGTCCATTTTGACAAATCAAGAAAACACAATTTTTTTTTACCTATTATACCCTCAATTAATTATTTAAAAAAGGTAGAACTTTTTGAAAATCTTAAATTTTTAATTCACCTACTTTATAATTAATAAGGGTAATATGGTAAACTCACTATGTCAATCATTGTTTTTCTTAATAGGTGTGTCAGTTCAAAAATGAACAAGTAATTACGGACAGAGGGAGTACTTGAAATTTTATAAAACCAATACATAAATAACTTTATTCTTCATATTTTACCCTTAAAGAGTTTTTTTTAAAGTAAATTTTTGGTCCATGGACCGTTTTATTAATAATAGACTGTAAAAAAACAAAGCTAAGACAAAGCCAATGAGTCTAAAAGCTGAGGCCGGGTTCAAAATAACCCAACCCATTACTATCCTACCAACATGAATAAAAGACCTCTTAAGCTGAGAAGAGTGTTCTCTACACTTTCCTAAAAGTTGTTTGTTTCTCTTCCCAATGTTGCATGCCGCTTATCGTTGGAACTCGTAACTTGGTTGTCTCCTCCTCTGGTTCGCCTTCACATTTGTTCCTATTAGTGTTTCTTGGAGACTCCATCTATTATCTTCACTGTTACAAGGTAAGTTCCTCTCATCTTCTTCCTCTTTGTTGTTTTTCTCTCCTAACCCTTTCCATTTTGTGCTCTCAGGTGGTGGGGGGTCATCCCAAAGGATCGATACGTCATGCTTGTGCTTATGTTGCTTCGGGCTGCCTGTAAGTCCATTTTCCTCATTCGCCTTTCTCCCTCTTCCTTTTTGTAAGTGATGTTTGTCCCTTCTACTCAGGCGATTTCGAGCATTTGATGCCCTCTTGTTGTTGTTGCACTCCCCAATCTCCTTATGGCTAACCAAGACCGAACTATCCTTTCTTTTTGGTGAAGGCTTTTGATAGCTAGAGCATTTAGTCCTAGCTAGGTTATTTGTCACAATCTTGATGTCTTCTTCAAGGCATACTCTGTTAATATTTCGACTGTGATTTCCTTTTGCTCCCATGTCAGTAGACATGTATGTGTGTGTGCCAATGTCAACTGCATCTACTTATGGGTCTTCCTTTATGTACTTTATTGATTTACTTGAGCATCTTCATGTGTTTTTATCTTCCTTGCCTTGATTATGATGTTGGCACTTGAGCTTTGTCCATGTATACATTCCTTTTCATGTTGGCAGGTAACTCCTGAAAATCCATGTACATCTCTGTCCCTTGTGACTCCACCACTTGTTTTGCTAATGCATCCGCTAAAGTATTGTCTTCTCTGAATGTATGAACGATACATGCATCCAACAACTGCATAATCATGATGATCTTCTCAACTCTCTCTGTAATCTCCCATGGTATTATCCATTGTCTTTGAATAATATTCCTCACAACTAATGAATTTGTTTCAATAGTAACCTCATTCAGGTTCTTCTCTTGGCAGTGTTCTAGTGCATCTTGAATATCCATCGACTCAGCCTCAGTATTCATGGCAATCCCTATGCCCTTGACTTTTACATATATTAGGTCTCCTCCAACAATCCTCAAACAAAATCCATATGAACTAAGACATGGATTGCCTCTACTCGTCCCATTAATATTACATTTCAATTTCTGTCTGGCAGGAAATTTCCATGTAACCTAGACAAATTGTAGCTTAGGTCTATATCCTCTAAGTTTTGCAACTATGCCTTGCAAATTCCACATCCACCATGTAATCCACGAGCATAACACCTTTACAAGCTTCTTGACTATATCCTGAATTTGCATCACCATGCATGTATAGTCAACAACTTCCTCATGCATCCTGACATTCCTCCTCTTCTAGAGAGTGCACATTATAATTGATGGCATAACTCTTAACACAACTTGCAACTTTGTTGGGCCTTCCTCATACATTCCATATGAAGAAATTTATTTTAAATAACAATCCTTTGATTCAAATATATTACCCAATATCTCTTCTTCTTTATACTCTGCGTCTCAGAATCTCCCACGCTGACTTAACCATAAATGATCCTTGTGTATTGGCCATCCACAAAGGAACATCTTTCGGTTCGTGCACCTAGGAGGTTTTATGTTGTGCACTATTTACTCACTCATCTCCTCTGAGAGTCTATCAGTCAACTATTCAGGGTCTTTCTTGGTCTGTTATAAGAACTAGAGCTACCTGGTGAATTTCCTTTCTCTATGTGATAATTTGTCTTCTCTTTAAACCCCTTTTACTTTTCCTTTTCCTCCCCTCTTTTAATCTCTCATGTGGCACCCCTTCATCGATCTCCTCCTTACCTTCATTTCGTTGGTACTCTAGATCCCCCAAATTAGTTCCCTAAAGTGACTTCTTGATCCCTAAAGTGACTTCCTCCAAAATAAGCACCATTGGAAAGCTTGGACTCTTCTATCCGACTCTCGAAGGTGGTGTTGATCTCAGATGTTTCAAGGACATATGCAAAGATTTCTATGCCAAATAATGGTAAAATTTTAAAACTCAGATAGGTCTTTTCAAAAAATTTCTCGAAGACAAATACTATGAAAGAATACATCTAGTTTGTAGAAAGTGGTCTTATATATGGTCAATCTCATAACTGGAGAATCATAACTGGAGAAGGTTGATGGATATGAAGAATGATATTGAAAAAATAATATTATGGAAGATTGGGGATGACATGGCTTCATTTTGGTGGGACGATTGGACTGAAAAAGGAGCCCTCGCCAGTTTTGTTCAGAATCAGCATACTCCTAAGAAGATCAGGGTTCATGAATTTTTTGATTGTGGTAATTGGAATGCCTCTAAACTCATAAATGTCCTACCTAAAGATCTTGTCAACACCATCCTTCAAATAGTTATTCATGAAGGTAAACAAGACTGGTCTATTTGGACCATCACTTCAAGTGGACTTTTTTGTAGTAAAACAACTTGGCATACTGTTAGAAAGCACAAAACTACTTCCTTCACTACTAGGATGATCTGTCAAAAATAAATTCTCTTCAAGGTCTATTTTTTATGCTTAGAACACTCCATATTAAGCTTCCCACATATGATAACGTGCAAAATTGCTTAAAGTGAATCTCTAGTCCATTTGTTCTTGTTGTAGTAATCATATATAGTTAGGAGACTATAAACCATTTATTTTGCGATAGTCTTATTACCAAACATGTTTGGAACTATTTTGGTAATGGTTGTGGCATTTCCATTAATTTCGGGAGCATTAGATAAGTTCTCATGTGTTGGTGGTTATCTATACATAAGAACCACATGCATACAATACGTCTTCAATGCATTCCTACAGTTATTTGTTGGGAGTTGTGGAAGTGTAGATGCTCTGCCAGATATGACAACATCAAGATGACTAGAAAGTATATTATTCTCCAAAGTTGTAAATATATGTGTATAATATTTGAAGCTATCCTTCCCTACTTCTTGGAATGAAATATGCCACTATACTGAGAATCTAATCCAGCATACTAGCCAAGTTACTTATTGGAATAAGTCTTTGAATGGTTTCTTAATACTTAATGTTGATGGATGCGCTAGAGGGAATCCGAGAAGCTCAGGCGGTGGCGGTATTTTGAGGGATCACACATGAGCTATCATTCTTGCCTTTTTTTACACACTTTTATGGTCATTCCAGTAACAACAATGGTGTAGCTAGAGACATCTTGCAAAGCTTGAAAACTTTGTATTTATAAATAATTTTTGAACGTTATTGTGGAACAGACTCTCAAGTAAGGTGGATGTGATTAACAACAAGATGAGGGCTCCATGGCATGTAAAGCATATTACGGATCAGATCACTCAACTTTTCGGCATTAAAATTTTTGTTTTTGTTCACACTTTTAGAGAGGAGAACACATTGGTTGATCACTTAACTAACACTGGAGAAGTCACCAAAAGCCATGCTATCTACTATGATTTTGGCTCACTTCCTAGTAAAGTCAAAGCAATGCTGATGATTGATCAACAAGGCTTCCCACACCTATGAATCAGGCCAAAGCAAAATCATTTTGTGATTAATGATGTTAACAGTTCTCACGTATAGAGTTGGTACAACTCTTTCTATTTTATGCAATATCTCACTCATTTGTACCCACCCCAACTTCACACTAGGTGGAATTTTTATCCTCCCAAGTGTTATAGTGTTTGTAACCATAGGTACATAAGAATGATGTCTCATTCTTGATTTGGCTCTAGAGGCAAAGGTCTATATCCTCCTACACATACTTTATTTTGTTTTTATAATAAAAAGGTTGGGGCAGTACCTTAACCCCCCACCATTAGTGGACTTTTGAAAGAAAAAAAAACTTCTTCACCTCACTCCCTCAACCCCACCTCATGTTCAAGTCGAGCCCCTCCCCATTTTCATTCATTTTGTTTTCTTCTTCTGCCAACTTCCTTCCTGCTGCAATTTTTTTTTAAAAAAAGTGATACTATTTTCTACACTTTTTTGAATTATTGATAACAAAACTAATTATTTTTCTGAGAAAATTCAAAATTTTGAAGGTGTCATCAATTAGTTTATTTCCCTTTTAGATAACTTCAATATTAGAAATGATAATTTTTAAAGAATCATGAATTTCCCAAAAATTGAAAGAGCTTGATTGAAATTTGGATAAAAAATCTAAATGATACCTCCTAGGCATCTTGAAATCTAATGAGTTTATCAAATTGTTCGAAATATAAAAAAAATACTTAGATACAGTTTGAAATCTAAAAGACTTAAAACTAATAGTAATAAAAGGAGAGTGAAATTCTGGAAAAAATGGTGACATGGAAAGTGAGGAGTTTCAATGGAGATGACAATGAATTTTTGAAGAAGAAACAAAACAAAAAATTAATAAGGAAAAAAAAGTTAGAATAATAAGAAAAATAAGAAAATATATTTTAGAATAAAATACTTGTAAAAATATAATAATGTTCATTATTTTAGGTTACTCACTCTCTTTAAGAGGCATACACTCTCTATGCCAGGTGGACAAAAAATGATGCAATAATGTCAATTCAAACTTTTTGAGCGAGTAATAGGATGCTTATATAGTTAAGGTGTCTTTTTGAAAATTCTAAAAAACTTCCGATGTTACTTTATATCTTTTGTCTAAAAGATGGGAAAAGGTAGAAGTACCTCCCTAGACTATGACCCAAATCCTAGAGACACACCTTAACTAAACTAAGGTCTTATTACCCCCTGAACTCATTTTTTTAGATATTTGTACACCTATTTGGCTTACGTGGCACCCAAATATCTCCCACGCGTCTCAACTGCATGGAGTCACGGGGTGTGCCACATAAGCCAAAAGGTGTACAATATTATATATAAAATGAGTTCAAGGAGTAATAGGACCTTAGTTTAGTTAATGTGTGTTTCTGAGATTTCGATCATAATCTAGGGGATATTTGTGCCTTCTCCCCTAAAAGAAAATCACTCCATCCATTTCAATTTATATGGTGAAGTTTGACTAAATATAGCGTTTATGAAATATGAAAAAACTTTCTAATACTTTAAAACTATCCTTAAAAAACAATACATCTTTGATGTACTTTTTGATAAATAAGCATGACCCCAAATGAAATTTATTAATAATGTTATTGAATCTTTGTCAAATAAAGTAATACTTTTGAAGATTAAATTATAAAAAGGAAACTGTGTCCTAAAAGTTGGTATATATATATAGGGAATGTTATAAGTTCATAAAGATAATTGATTCAAAATATTTTTAAAAATGTTCTAGAAAATTGTTGATAATCAGAAAGGAAAAATGTTTGATATACTTCTGAATTTTGTCATTAGAGTTGAAATACATCTCATTACAAAAGTGGTTCACATATATTCCTATCGTTATAAAATTGACTCACATATACCTCTTACCGTTACAAAAGTGGCTCACATATACCCATACCGTTATAAAAGTAATTCACATATACATCTTACCGTTACAAAAGTGGCTCACATATACCTCTATTATTACAAAAGTGATAAAACTAATTTGTTTGATTTTATATTTTTTAAAATAATATATTTGGTTTTTTTCACACATAAATTATTGTTTAACTTCTTTGATTATTATTATTATTTGGGTTTCTTATTCTAATTTCATTTTCTCTTTCATTCTTTGATGTAAAAATAAGAGAAATAAAAAAAGAAGTGTGAATGAAAAAAGAGAAAAAAATCTAAAACTATTTTTTTTGGACTATATTGTAATTTAGTTTTTATATCTGTAAAAGAAATTGGGGCATCTATAATTAATTTTATAAGAAATTAAGTAAAAAATAAATTTGACCATCAAAATAATAAATTCAAATTAGCCGTTGAATTAAAAAAAAGTCAAAAGAGATGTATGAGAAAGATCAAATATACCCCTACATATGAATTATTTTTTTAATAAAAAAAGTTAGTAAAAAACAATTTTAAAAATTAATATTTTCACTTCCATTAATGGAAAAGGATATACGTGAGTCATTTGTGTAACCACTTTCACAACGAGGGGTATATTAGATCTAAATGACAAAATTTAGTATATCAAACTTTTTTCCCTAAACAAAATAATTCTAATCCTAAATAGTAACACTTTCACGTAAAATGTGATCTGAGTTAATATGTGTTTGATAACTGTAACTTTCTTATGATTCTCGTCAGTAAAAAAGTTAATTATCTGAAGAATATTTCTAAGCACAATTTCAATAACAATTTATATGGAAAGAAAAGAAATTGCAAAAACTTGTTCGACAAATTAACAATTCATGGATTTTCTTAATCATAATTTCCATTTTCATTTTTTCATGTGTATCAAAGTCGCGTCAAATGTCATATTCTTTTTTTGCTTAAATATTCTTCCAACAGTCAAATTATTTGTTTCATATGATAATAATGGATTAGCCATTGAATGAATTCTAACACTAGCATAGACCTCCTCATATTTTTCTTCTTCTTCTTCTTCTTATTATTATTTTTTATTTTAAAAAACTGATAACTATTGATATAATACTTTAAACTATATTAATAGTGCAAACTATCATTACTACTCTTAATAACTTAAATATAAGATACTCACATGAGAGAGAAAATCTAGTTTTGAATTTTTTGTGTATTTTTAGATATTAATAAATAAAATCAGAAAATTCTAGGCTTCTTTTTAATCCATTCAACAACACCCAAATAAAAAGATGTTATAAGATTTGTATAAGTTTTGAATATATTCATTTCTTATTTGACACCAGTTATGTCTTGGTTGGAACCAACTACGAATATATCTATCTATATTTCCTTGTTCTTCTTTTTTTCTACAAAATGTTGATTTCTAATTAGGATAAGCATTTTGGGAGGACCCCACCATTTGAAAATTAGAGACGTAGTGGGTGAGTAGGTGTCATTTTCATTTTCATTTTCATCCAATGATGCAATAATACAATGATAAGCTTCCAAGCATAAGTGTGCACTCTTCCACTTTCTATTCACTTTTCTTTTTGTTTCTTTTTATTTTTGCCTCCTCTTCTCATCATTGAGTGCTATAACTTATGTAAATGCTAGAATTCCTTAATTACTCTGAGGAGAGTAACTTATATACTCATTCAACTATATTATATATTTAGTTTGAATCAATAAAACTATTCAAATACAAAATTATTATAACTCAAAATTCAAAAGGATAATTAAATAGTGTCACAATCTAAACGACATGATTGACACCCACATTAACCCCTGATAGACCAACCATATCTTACCAATTTAAAACATGCGTCAACTAAATCAGTAATCATATTTTACAGATTTGAAAGGCATAAAATAAGTCTCAAGCTATATAAATATGAAATTTGGAAGTCTAAACTATTACATTTCCAGAATCTGAAAGTCATCGTACAAGACTATAACTGAAGTATCTAAGAATATTCATAAAATTAGATAAATATAACAATGTCGGGAGAGAATGAACACGGTCTCTAGATGAACTGTGGCAACCTGGACAATAGTAGCTCACCCTGTAATCGAAAGTGCAACAACGCTAGATTTGCAGCCGTGTGGAAGACTCTGGATCACCGTCATCACTCAAAGAAAAGTGCAGAAGTAGTATCAATATACATACTATATGCAGGTAAGCATCATATCTCGACTAATATTAGTAACAAGTATATAAAGACAACTCAAAAATAAATAGACAAGTACAACTTCACATTGTCACGCAAACTCTCAATAGGTCAAGAAATCAATATTAGCCAGATAGAAAGACTCATTCCCGACATATCAATGTCATCAATCACTGGACACATAAATCACTAAACATGTATAATAATCATCATAAACCACTTCTATCAATAAGTAGTCACACAGACAATCGTGGAATGAGATCCACACTGATCTTACAACTGTATAGTCATTGCATCTCATCAGTCTCATTTGTCACTCACATAGACACTCAAATGTACACGCATGTTAACGGGACTTTAATATTTCCCAACTAGTCATAAATGATTGAATAACGCTATCAAAGACACTTAATCCAGTTCCAAGAGTCAACGATCGTTAGTCAGTATATAACCCAACTAAATGAGTTGGGGTCGAATCCCACAGGGAGTGGTACGTGTTTAAGATTCAATAGGAAAACATGAATGTGTTCAAATCAACCATAGCAATAGACATTTACGATTAACAACATAATGTAAATTAGAGGGTTGACACGAATGTCAAATAACAGGGGGTTTTGGTTTTGAATTATCAACTACAGCAGCAGTAAATAATACAAATTAACAAATATTGAGACGGGTTCTTGAGATGTGATTCGATTATAGGCTAATATAGACAAACGGGTAATTGCAATTGTTAGTAAAGAGTTGTAAATCACTGAATAAGCTAGACTTTAGTGGGGATAAACTTTCTCTCGAACAATTTACCCCGAATCAAGTTGGTTTCTCTCGAACACCAACAAGCAAGCAAATAAGAACAACCTACGCTTTAGTTCATTCACTCTCTCGAGCTGAATGTGTGGAAAAGGATTTAGAATTCACTCTCTCGAGATGAACCCATAACAACCCAATACCCACAGACCATCAATTAAGTAATCTTGGTTTTAAAACCTCTCTCTCGAACAAGCCAAAAACACAAACGTAGAACTGCATTTGAAACTACAATCCTTAAAATTTAACCACAATTACTGATTGAAATCACTTCTAAACATCATTTAAACTAACAATTAGCAATACCCATAAGCTAAATCAGCCCATAATAACATAATCAAACCCCAAGAATTGGGGTTTTAGCTAGGCATCATACAAAGATAGAAATCGTTACCAGATTGTGTTTTC